GGCAGGCGCTGCTGCGGGAGAGCATCCAGGTGCTGCGCAGCCGCCACCGCGCCGAGCCGCGGGGGCCGCCCCGCCACCAGCCGCCGCAGCAGCTCCTGCTGCCGCCCGGCCTGCTGGGGGGCGGCGGGCGGGCGGCCCCCCCGCAGCACCGCGCCGAGTTCTTCCTCGGCGGCGCCCTGGAGGTCATTTGCCAGGCCTGGCTCCGCGACCTGCTCCTGGCCCGCCGCGCCCCGGCCTGGCTCCGCCGCCGCTACACGCAGCTGCGCTACGAGGACTTGGTGCGGGAGCCCCGCGCCCAGCTGCGCCGCCTGCTCCGCTTCGCCGGGCTGCCGGTGCCGCCCGCCCTGGAGGCCTTCGTCCTCAACATGACCCGCGGCGCCGCCTACTCCTCCGACCGGCCCTTCCTCATCTCCCCCCGCGACGCGCGGGAGGCCATCCACGCCTGGCGGGAGCGCCTCAGCCGGCAGCAGGTGCGGCAGGTGGAGGCCGCCTGCGGCGAGGCCATGAGCCTCCTCGCCTACCCCCTCAGCGCCGGCGACGCCCGGTAGCGCTCCCGCCGCCAGGTGAGGGCCGGGGCCGGGAGCGGCGGGGAGTGCGCTGAGGATAGGCCCGAGGGTGGGCGGATGGACGGACGGACGGACAGCAGGGCCTGGCCCTGGCCTTGGTGTGGCGGCCTGATTGGCAAAGGCCAGTGCGAGGAGCCTCCTCGCCTACCCCCTCAGCGCCGGCGACGCCCGGTAGCGCTCCCGCCGCCAGGTGAGGGCCGGGGCCGGGAGCGGCGGGGAGTGCGCCGAGAATAGGCCCGAGGGTGGGCGGATGGACGGATGGACAGCAGGGCCTGGCCCTGGCCTTGGCGTGGCGGCCCGATTGGCAAAGCCCAGCGCGAGGGTTGGCCCCTGGCATGGCGGCCGCTGGGCACTGCCCTCTGGGGACGGGCAGCCCTGGCAGAAGCAAAGGTGCCTCACTCACCCCCAGGTACGGGCAGCACAGCGGGGTCCAGAGACCCCCTTCCCGCCCTTGGCTTTGGTGGGGAGGTGTTCCCTCTGGGGACGGCGGCCACCCTGCCTTGGGGTGGGTGGAGAAGGCATTGTATGAAGAGAAAGGTTTGGTAAGAGGTGTCCTCTGGGGATGGCGGCGACATCGGAGCCCCTTCAGCGTGAAACTGCGACCGCCTGCAAAACACCGGGTGTTCTTCAAAAAAAAAACTCCCCAAATTGCATCAAAACTTAAAAATCCCCCAAATGAAGACTCTCAGCAAGGAACTAGAGGGCTTGAAGGGTGTTGCTGTGAGAGCATCGCCTGTCCCGAGCACTGAAGGACATTGAGCTCTGTTGTATCCCTACCGAAATGCCATCGAGGGGCTTCTGTGAAGCTGGCTGCCAGGGTCAGGGCAGGCCTGGAGGGTGCCCGCTGCTGAGAGGGCTCTGCTCTCCTGCCGCTGGCCAGGTGGCCCTGTGGGGCTGGTGATGCTCTGGGGAAGGGGGCACCGGCCAAGGGAAGGGGAACCGTGCCCAACTCTCTCCATCGCTTGGAGCAGGGGGGTAAGCAGTCATAGCCGGGGGGGGGGTAACGTTCGCCTGCTTACATGTTTCAAAGATGTTTGTGGCAGAAATCTTTGCTTTTTAAAAGAAAGCTGTAATTCTTTTTAAAGTAGGATTATTATTTTTTTTTTAATATATTGATATAGTTAGGTGGTGATACGGATGTGAGATGCAGGTGACTAACATGTTTCTTGGGGACGCGCGTAGAGGTGACTGTAACTGGAAGGCGAACACTCGGTATTTCCATTTTGTTTTCTCAGCCAGATGAGAGAATCACTTTTCTTCCCTGGCTTCCGGGCTGACACATTGTGCCGTGCACAGGGTCCTCCTGGTCACATCCCTTTTGAACAATAACTTCCTCTCAGCTGGCAACTCCTGGACAAAAGCAAATGTTTCCTGACAAGACTAAGGCAAATTAATCATAAAGTTCCCAAATAAAAGCTTGTATTTGAAAAAAAAAAACAACTTAAGTTTCATTTTGGATTTTAAAATTACAATTTCCTGTAGACATCCTGCCACTTGTATGGAAAGGGTGTGCATGTGTGTGTATGTGTGCCTTTTTATTTGTTTATTTCTAAATTTGGGGATAGAAGGTTCAGTTGTATTTTAGGGACTCAGTAGTGTAAGTTCTTAGAGACTGCTTTTGAGTCCATTACTGTCTGGCAGCGTTTAAATGGCCCCATGAGAGTATACAGGGTTATAGGGATGTTTACCTGCAGTCCTCAAATACAAACTGAGAACATGAACTTCAAATTCAGGTTAACCCAGGATCAGGAAGAAAACTGTTATTTACATAAAGTGCTTGAAATAAAGGCAGTTCAAAGACATAATGTTATCTTGGAGGAAACATTTGAGCTGCATTGTCGGCTTTCGTGCTCTGATTATTGTGCCGTGAAACATGTCAGTGAGTTGGGATGAACCTTCATTTATTTTAGCTCCTTTTCTTCCTTAACCCTCCCACCTGAGAGTACATTGGCACAAGAAGCAGGTTTCTTTCATTATCTGACATAAAAATGTTTTTGAGTAAATCAATCCATTTCACAGTAGCATGCTTCATACAATTCTGCATCCTTTGGTTTCTGCTTAAACTGAAATTACAGGGGCTCGTTTTGTGCTGGAACAACCTGTCATATTACCTAAGGGATGCTTCTGTGTTCTGTCACAGGTACCATCACAGCAAAATTCGTCTCTGGGCGTTCTAGCAGCATTTAATAATATTATTTGTATAGATGGACAATACCTGTATTAAAGCCTTGATAACCTGGGTTGGGTAACCTAATTTGGAAAGCTTTTCTGGGAATACACCCAGCCTGGCTTGTACTGGCAGGTTTGGGAAGAAAATAAGATTTTCTTGCATGCCGAAAGACGATACGGTACTTACTTTCTTATGTCAGATGGGAGATTAAAATCTAGTATATCTTCTTGGTTTGTTTTAAGCAGGTTTAACGTTGTACGCTGCAATTGTTACACATTTGCTCCACCTTGACAGGAAATCTCATCTTGCTGTTTCAGGTGGCAAATGTCTGTCATAAGAAGTTTTTAGATCTGTGCTTAGTTTCACTCACACTGGTTCATCGTGATGAAGAAAGAAGTGTTGCCATCTAGTTTAACTTGGTGCTTATAACTGGGAAGAAATCCACTACTTGCAAATTATTTAGTGTTTTCTGAAGCAGTTTCCATGTTTGACATCGATGCATTTTCTGTGTCAGGACTTAGTTCTGTCGGTGGAAGTTGTTCACTAACACAGTTGTTCTTTATTAGTGATGAATTCAATGTTCTTTTGTAGTGGGTGAGGGTTTTTTTGTATACTGTGAAAAGGGCTCTGTTTGGCAAAGTGTACAAAATATAGCAAGTGCAATTCCTGGTTTCCATTTAGGTTGCCTGAGTTCATTAGAAGACTCTAAAACAACCTACAGGGACTATCCAAAAAAGGAGTAAGTAGCCTAGAGTTGGGATCTTTGAGCAGGACGTGCAAGAGCACCTAATACTGGATGACAGTGGCTTAATGATTGATGTTGCGACGTGTGCCCTTCAGTCACTAGAAAGCTTTCTAAAATTCTCCTGCCTGAGGAGGAGAGCTAAGGCTTACCACAAATGCATCCCGTTTTTCTCTTCAGGGTGTTTTGATGGTGTCGGAAAGCATTGTTCAGGATGCTTGCAGCATATCCTTGTTGGCCTTGTAAGAAAAAAAAATATACCCTGTCAAATGTCAGTGTTGGTACTTACCTGAAAAGACAGAAACGGGTCTGATTAGGACAAGCAGCGTGGAGGGAGTGTCACCGGCAGAGGTCTTTGGAAGCAAGTAGAACCTGCTGAAAGCAGGACACCCCTGCTTAAACCACATTTTGAGAACAGCTGGGCATTTATGGTCACCAGCTTTTCTACTGTTACTGGGCTCAACGGAGGTTTTTGAACTGAAGTCTCAGTTCTGCTGAATGATGTAGAAAAATGAACCATAACTGCATCTTTTAGAGCAGAGGATGCCATGATAAGCAAGGGAACAATAAACACTTTTTATAGCCGAGCTGAACTTGGCAGGCTTAGAATCGGAGAGCAGGATTGAGCCACAGGGTTTTAGTAGTTCAGACTGGGATTTGGAAAAAATACCTACTTGTGCTACGTTACATATAATGAATTAACAACTTTCATATATTAAAAAGTCAAAGCGGGAAACTGGAAGACAACTGATAAATGCTCACAAGACATTTCTATCATCTGTTTTTACTTAACTTTTGGTCATGTGTTTGCCTTAAGGGAGGTAGAAACTTGAGCGCTATAATTGTATATAAAAGGCTGTGATCTTTCCACACCGGATTTGTTAATTGCTCTCTTACAACATTCTATCTGTGTTTAAATTGTTGCTTTTGGTGAGACAACTGTAGCGACGTACTTGTGAGAAATGTTTAAACTCTGGGGTCAAGAAATACTTAGCCCCTGCATTACTTGAGCTCCCTGGAACATTACTGATGGAGTCCTTGCAGATACCCACGGTATGTACCCGCATTCTTCAGATGCAGTAGAAATAGTTTAGTAGCTCTCCTGGTTGCAGTATCCTCAGAAGTATTAAACGGTCATGAAGTTACTTATTTAACAACTTCAGTATCACTCGGGTCATTTTAGTTCCCCCCTGCCCCACCCTATTGGTCTGTGCATCAAAAAAAGTTCTCGGTTTCTACATTACGTTCTCAGTATCACCACTTTCAGTAAATCTGATGATAAAAAAAAAAAAACAGTTCAGAATTTCTGGGGTTATTATGATAATGCTATTCATCAACATTTCATTAAAGAGCTGAGCTCCTGAAAGACTATGAGCGCCAACAAGCCTGACAGCACCTCCTGTTCCTTCCTTGAACACGAAGAGTTGCCACTCAGACTCTCTGTTGGGACAGTAAGAATGGTGCATGACACTTCTCAGAATCATCCCATGTGCAGTCCATACAGCACTGGGGCTATCTTAGGTGTTATTTGGCCGTTCCTATTTAACTTGACGTGACACCTACCACCACGGAGAAGTATATGGGAAAAAGACAATTGTCAAAGCAAATCTTGCACTAGTAGAAGTTTTGAACAGCCCGCTGGCTGCGTGTGTGTGTGAGGGAGGGGCTGGGATCTGGATTGTCCTTCTCTTGACTGCGATTTAAAGAGGTGAATGTTAAATCCAAACTTGTTAAGGTGGTGGTTTTCAGCAGCTGAGGGAGCTGTTGCTGAGGCTCACCTCTGGCAGTCTCGGCAGGGCAAATGGCTGGAAGCTGATTAATATTTTTTCTGGGTATTGACTCCAGGGAAATTTTTGCTTCCAGCACTGAGGCGTTAAGGTCTGCTGCTGACCCACGGCACCTGCAGCACCGTTTCTTGGAGCTGGTAAATGGGAATCGGGTCTTCCTCAAGAGCTTCCAAATTTGTCGTCCTGTTTCCAACCGTCCAACATTGCCAAACTTCGGCTGTACGTAGGCTGAAACTTTTCATCTTGGGTTCAAAATTCAAATGTCTTTGGGGAGCTCCAGTCAACACAGTGCATGCTCTTGTGAACTCAGGGTTGGGCTGTGGTGGTCTTTTGCCTATTGTTCAAATAGTCTCAAAGATGTTTCTTGGAAATCATTCATCACTTCAGTGCTTTGGGACAGGGATTCCGGTTC